AACAATTTTTAGACTCCTATCTATCCTGAACCTCTAAACTTAGTCTTAGCTTTACTAGTTCACTGAGTAAACAATAATTATTTGATAACAGGATCAAAAGATTTTTTGGCTCCGAAGGCGCCAAATGACTTATGTTATCTTAATAAGAATGCAAAAAACCACAAGAAATAATTTTAAGTCATGTATTGGCTATATAATAAATAAAGATGTGATTTATGAAATTAATAACAAATTGGAGGAGGACGAAATAGAATTTTTGGAAATAATTGAAGTTCGCTTAGTATTAATTTAAGATATGTTATTACAACTACAAGATCTTATATTAAATTCCTATAGGAACCACAAGAAAATACCTAAAATACACAAGAAAATAAATGAGAAGGCAAACAAAATATGCCACTATAAAAATATCACACAAATTAAAGAAAGACAGTTAAATAAGTAAAGGGCAACAATACTATACAATAAGAAGAAAACAAATAACAAAAGGGTAAAATTCAATCTTCTGTCAATAATGACTTTAAGTGTTAAACTTACCAGAATGTATGAAAAATGCAAGCATAGTACAGCATATAGATATTTGTTGCTTGTATACTTATTTTGGAGCTAAAGAAATAATGAAAATTTACACATTAAAAGTAAAAGAACAGGAAAGGTTTCCATAAAATAATAACCTTTTGCTAATGAACTAGAATACAAATACAGAAAAATACATTCAGTCAACAAACTGTCATTTACAAAATACTTTTCATATAATAATTTAAAGAACTAAAAAGACTATAAAAGCCAGCTCCTGGAAGAGAATAGTGCAGAATCTCCTGCCCCCGCGCCTGGCTGTCCTCGCCAGGGCCCCTTGGAGGGGGGCTGGTTGAGTTTCCTTCTCCGCCCCGAGCAGAGCCCCGGCAGCCAAAGACCTCCAGAACCAGCCACAACCATGCTGAGACCACTCTCCACACACATGAAGGTACTGGCAGAGGAACAAAGGCATGCGGGTCCCAGGACTGAGATCTCCAAGCCTGCTCCGATCGGGGCTGAGCATCCTCCACCCAGATCCTCCATCTTCCAGTAGGAAGGGGTCACACCCACCAACTGACCCCCCACTCCGTGCCTTGTAATCCCATCAATGGTCAAGACCCAGGGACTATAAAACCCAGCTCCCGGAAGCGAGCAGCTGCATTCGTGGCTATGCGACATCTTATGATCTCATTCTTGCTTTGGACAACCTGGCAGGCTACCGAATGTAACCTGCCCACACAGCAGAGTCTGGCAAACTCCCCGTGGTGTACCCAATATGCCAAATACCAGTAACAATGATGGGTCTCATTCTCCTAACCCTGAAAGAGCCTTGAATATGGCACTTTTTAAAAACTCAAGGTTAGGACGAAGGAGGCATTACTGGTGCCTGCTCGAGACAATCCACGAACAACAGGATGATCGTGATTGTGATCGTGATTGTGAATTTAAAGAACTATAAAATATATGCACCAAAATCAGAATTCCTAAATATACGAAGCAAACATTGACAGAACTGAAGGGAGAAATAGACAGGTCTGCAATTATGGTTGAAAACTTCAGTACCACCACTTTCAATAATGGGTAGACCAGAGGAAAACTTAAGAAAAAAAAATCCTTGAGCAACACTATAATTAATGGGGCCTAACAGATAACAGATCATACATTATTCCCAACTGCCCATGGATTATTCCTACAGATAGACCACATAATAAGCCATAAAGCAGGTCTTACATTCTAAAAGATTGAAATCAAAGTATCTCTTCTGATGCTGATAAGCTAAACCAAAATCAATAGAAAAATGGAAATAGAAAATTCAAATCTTGTGGATATTAAAAATTTGTGAGCAGTCTTTCTTGTTTTGTTTGAGGGCCAGGTGGGGGTGGGGTGTAGGGAGTCATGCTGGCTCAGTGCTCAGTAGATGTGGTGCTAAGGATTAAACCAGAGTGTCTGCAACATAAGTGTTCCAGCCTTCTGAATCATCTCCCTGACCCTAAATAGTACACTTATAGACTCCAAGTGAATCATGATATTAAAAAAAGTGAAAATTTAAGACAAAACTTATAGGATGCAGTCAAATATTGCCAGAGAAAAATTTACAACTATGAAAACTCTATGTTACAAAACAATCTCAACTTTATACTTTAAGGAACTAGAAAGAAAAGTTCAAATGAAGCAGCAACAGAAAGGAGAAAATATTACAATTAGAGCAGAAATAAATAAAATAGACAAGAGAAAAACATAAAGAAAAAGACTAAATTTCAGAATCTGTTCATTAAAAGGTTTATCAAAAGCACCAAAACTTAGCTACACTGGTCAGATTATTGCCATCTCTGATTTCCTTCTTCCTGTGTCATGGAAACTTCCACATCCAACATCTGTCATCTTTGCAGGCCCACATCAGGCCACTTGCTGGTTCTTCCCACACTCTTCAAACACAGGCTGCGAACCACAGGATCTCACTGTGGACCAACAAAATACCACCAGGAGATTTTGAAACCTACCTCCATCCCAGGAAGAAAATTCCCCTAATACAACAGTTGTTGTCAGAAATTGATAGATGCATAAATAGAGCCTGATAATGAACAGCATACCTGATCATTGTCACACCATCGGAAATATGAAGTTCCACCCCTAGCATCCACATATCATTAGAATTAATGAGAGAACAAAGGAATTCAGCAGCTTTGGCTGACGGGGACAGATGCCCAGCTAAGTCCTCAAGTTTATCAAAACTTTTTTTTTCTTTTTGGGTCACACCTGGCGATGCACAGGGGTTACTCCTGGCTCATGCTCTCAGGAATTACTTCTGTTGGTGCTCCGGGGACCATACAGGATGCTGAGAATCGAACACAGGTCAGCTGCGTGCAAAGCAAACACCCTACCCGTTGTGCTGTTGCTCCAGCCCCAAGTTTATCAAAACTCTTGACAGACCTGAGGATGACATCAGAACAATAGTATTCCCTAATATAACTGAAATCAAGAAAGCATTGGATGAGAGGTTCACTTAGCTTGAAGAAAAACTGATGCAAAACATTAAAGAATTTATTCAACTAGAATTGAAGGAGATACAGAATACAGTAGCAAGTCACAGCAGTGGAACAGAGGAATCTGAAAACTGAATTAGTGTGCTTAGAGACACCACGTGTCTAGAGAACAGAAGACATCATTCAAAAAGAATGGGCAATACAAAGGAGATTTTAAAGAATGGAAGAAAAAAGAAAACATTTAGTGGACAATAGAATGAATAATAATCTCTGCATTGGTAAAAGAAGGGAAGAAGAGTTAGCAATCATGTCCTCCATTTTATGATGTAATTTTCCCTTTCACCCACAGTAAAAAAAGAAGCTCTCTTCCCTGTCTTAAAGAAAGCTCATATAGGGAGAGGAAACATCAGGGCAGTAGTGGATGGTTAGTGACTTTCCAGGGTCGAGTGATGAAGTACATTGCAAATATAGAACAATAATGTGGGATTTGATGTAAACCATATTATCTCATTATAAACAAAAGGGGGATTTCTATTGCCAGAATTTTACTCTAAAACTAAAAGAATGTACTTATTTTTTTGGTTAATATAAACAGGTGTTGATCTATAATGGTGAATACATGAAACTTATGTTGTAATGCAATATTATCATAATAAAAAGGTATTTTTAAAAAAATTTACACTATAAGGAAAAAAGAAAAAATATATTAATAAAAAGAAAAATCTCTTATTGAAATATTAGAAGAAGAAAGCATTTTACTACAGATTTTACAAAAAATTAAAAGATTCTAGGAGAGTATTGGGAACAATTATTTGCCAATATTTTGGCTAAACTAAATGAAATCAACAAATTCCTAGAAACATAAAACCTATCAAAACGAATCTTTAGGAAGTAGAATGTATAAACAGGCCCATTCCTAGTAAGATCTAATCAGAAATTAGCAAACTGAATTTTACAATGCACTAATAAGATTATAAATGATGACTAAGGAAAACTGATGCCTGGAATGCAAAGATGATTTCAAAATTAACTCAAAAAAGAATTATCATGTACTCTCACAGTTCCATGTCTGGGCACACATCCAGAAGAACATAAAATAGGCACTCAAGTATACTTGTACACATGCTCATAGTTGTATTCACAATAGCAAAAATGTAGAACCCATGCTCCTTTATCAATATATGAAAATGAATAATCAAAATACAGTACCTGGATATAATAGAATATCTATTATTCAGGAATTGCAGCCTTTTTATGTTTATTATCAAGTTGACTTTTTAATCAGTAAGAACCCCTTCAAGTCCTTTGAGCCTGTGTTTACTATAAATCTCAAAAAAGTTCTTGGGTTTTTTGATGATGTTGTTTTTATTTGCAGGGCCAAAGTCCCCACAATGCTCATGAGTTACTCCTGGCTCTGCACTCAAAAATTACTCCTGATAGTTCTTGAGGGACCATATGGGATTCCAGGGACAAACACATGTTGGTCACAGGTAAGGTCACCCTACCTGCTATACTATAGCTTTCTTATTTTCTAACATATCTATCTACCTATTTATCTTTTTTTTACAACTTAGGCTGGAAATAGTCATTTCACCAGAGTTATGATTTCTTACTGGGAGATGGTATTTATAAATACCATCTATAAATACCACTTATAGATGCTAAAAAAAATCATTAATTTTAGATCACTTTAGGAAATCATTTCTATTCCTATTCCCAACTCAAATTTTATGTTCTAGAGTTTATTATTACCTTATATATTATGTTTTTGGTTTGGAATAAATCCAGTGATACTTGTGGGGATCATGTTGTGCCAGGGCCCTGCATACAAATAATGTGCTACAGTCTTTTGAGCTATCTTTCTGGCTTTTTAAAAAAAATTTATTGATTGATTTTTTACTTTATTTTTATTTACTTTAATTGCTATACTAGAAATGTAAAAAGACTGTTGGAGCTACAGCATGTGACCTTTTACGAAGATTAGGGCATAATGGAGACACAAAAAACATTAAACACTTCAGAAATTTGCATGTCATACTTGTGCAGGGGTCATTTAATCTCTCTGTATTGTCCCAATTTTAGCATATGTGCTGCCGAAGCAAGCACTTGATTTTATTTTTATTTATCATTTTCTTCATACTGAAAATGTAGGTTTAGGTGCTATGTGTTTATACATTTTAAAATTCTTTTCCATGAAGGTATATATCTTATGAACTATTTAATTAGAATGTTTTCAGTACAATTTTTATAAAGCATTTAGTTATACGAACTACTTTCAACCCATTATGTAGCATTGTAGCACTGTTCATCAATTTGCTCAAGTGGGCACTAGTAACATTTCACAACTAATTGTGAGATTCATTGCTACTGTTTTTGGCATATCGAATACATCACGGGTAACTTGACAGGTTTTGCCATGCAGGAGAGATACTCTCGGTAGCTTGCTGGGCTCTCTGAGAGGGGCGGGAAATCGAACCTGAATCAGCTGCATGCAAGGCAAATGCCCTACCTGCTGTGCTATCGCTCCAGAAAATAATCCTCCTGAACTGATGTCAGTGAAAGTAAGAGAAATAGGAAAACTACATGAGAACTTTCTAAAGGTAATAACTTTTGATAGAAAAGAAAACATAGCTTGGATCATCTTAAAAACCATACACAAGGACATGAAATCAATACATATAAATCTATCACAATTATTTAGACAATCAATAAGATATAAGAAACAGAAATTTAAAAAAACAATCCCAGTTACAATTGCAAAAAAATTAAAAATTACAATTGCATAAAAAGCTGGCTCAAAGCTGTGGAGCACATAGCCTTGCAGGTATTTTCTTTAATGTCCTTGTTTAGTTTTTGGCAGCTCAAGTGCCTCCAAGCACTGAGCACCATCAGATGTAGTCCTGGAGGCCCTTGAGCATTGACAGCTAGAGCGGTTCCACTCGGCAGGGTTAAGTGAACCTGTGAGTGGTCTCGAGCACCTTGAGGGAAGTCTCTCTGAGGGTGTGTGTGTGGGAAACCTAAATTGAACAAAGGAAACTGTACAATGAAAACTGTAAGACATTACTAAAATAATCAAAACCACAACGAAATATAAAAGCTTTATGTGCTCATGGATTAGAAGAATAAGCATATTTTATTGTTTGTTTTTTTTTCTTTTTGGGTCACACCCAGAAATGCTCAGGGGTTACTCCTGGCTATGCACTCAGGAATTACACCTGGCAATGCTCCTGGTACTCCTGGGGGACCATATGGGATGCTGGGAATCGAACCTGGGTCTGCTGCATGCAAGGCAAACGGCCTACCTGCTGTGCTATTGCTCCTGGCCCCAACATTTTTTTAAAATGATGATTTTATCTAAAACAATCTATAGATTCAACACAATCACTATCACAATGGCAATGCCATTTTTCAAGGAAACAGAATAATTATAAATTTTTTTTGAGCCACAAAGTCTCTATTTAGTCAAAAACAAGTCTAAGAGAAAATGATGCATCATGTTTCCTGACATCAAACTATATTAAGAAGTTTAATTATAAATAATTAAAATAGTATATAGGAATGAAACAAACACTCAGGCCAATGGAATTGAATAAAACTCCCAGAAATAAAATCAAAGACTCATAAAAACTTAATCACTAGTAAAAGAATCAAAACCATACGGTGAGAAAAGAAATCTTGAACAAATGCTGTCAGGAAAACTAAATTGTCATGTACAAATATATGAAACTTGTTTACTATTTAACATCACACATGAAGAGTATCTCAACGAGGTTTAAAGACTTGGACATCAGAGCCGAACTAAAATCTATAGAAAAAATATAGATGACACACTCTAGGAGACATATTTTTGGAGACTCAATTCCAATGATAAGAAAAACAAAAGCAATAATAAACATACCAACATACCGGGAGTGTATATCAAATTAAAATACTTTTATGAAACAAAACAACTATTATGAAAAGAAAGCAACAAGGTTATTGGGAGAAGATATTTGCACATCATATAGACAAGGGATGAATATTATATATGCAAAGATATAGATAAAGATATAGAGAAAGAGCCCACACAAATAAACAAACAATCCTATTTAAAAATGGACAAAAGGCAGAAGTAGACATAAACATTCAGATAGTTCACAGACACATGAAAATATGTTCAAAGTTATCCATTAGGAAAATATAAATTAAGGCCACATAGTGATATCATATCAATAAGGGCCTACATGAAAATGATTGGAAAAAATATTGGTAAGGTTGTGGAGTAGAACACTGGGTATATTGTTGGTGGAACATAAACTGGAAAAAGTACAACCTCTCTGGAAAAAGGTATAGATAGTACTTTAAAAACTATAGATGGAGAGGCTGGACACCCCAGGTTTTGTCTCATTTTTGTGCTGTAGCAAAACTTCTCTAAAAGGAGGGTCTTGGGGCTGGAGCAATAGTACAGTGGACAGAGCACTTACCTTGCACGTGACTGGCCCAGGTTTGATCCCTGGAATTCCATATGGTCCCCACAGCCTGCCAGGAGTGATCCTTTGGGCACAGAGCCAGGAGTCAGCCCTGAGCACTGCTGGGTGGGGTCCAAAATCAAACAAACAAACAAAACTCTAAATGGAGGATATGGCCTTGAAGCTCAGTGGTAGAACACTTGTCTAGTAATACCCTCAGGACTCATCTGAGAGATATAAAACGCTAATTCAAAATGATATTTGTGCTGAGATGCTCATAGCAGCATCATTCACTATAGTGAAAACATGACATCAACCTATATGGTGATAAAGAAGTTAGAATAAAGTTCTGATATTGGTTCTCAATGAAATATTATGCTACCTTTAAAAAATTATGTCATTTGGGGCAAAATAGATGGAATTTAAGGTGATTATGCAAAATGAAGTGGAAAAAATGGAAAAAAACCTGGATGGTCTCATTAATATGTGGAATAGAGAATTACTAAATCAAATTTACTGGAAATAAATAACAAGTCTAACTTCTAGACTTATTGAAAACTGGTGCTCATGAGAGCAAAAGTGTAGTGGAAGGAGGAGAGGAATCTTTCTGATGGTGTAACGCCCTGGAAGTTTTGTAGTAGGAGTAGTAACAATTGCAGTGTGAGGAATGAAGCTAAAACCCTTAAAGTCTATAATATAAGAAAGCAATTTTAAGATAATGATTTTAAAAAGAAAAAAATTTGTTTGAGGAAAGAAATAATTTTATTTTATTGTTTCATGAGTAGAAACTGAAAACCTATAGAAACTCTTAGACAGTTTAAGATTTCTGTGGTCTGAAACTTCTAATTCACAAAGGAAAATAAACAGTTCAGTTTGATATTGTCCAAATGTCTATTTTTGCTTTTATTGTCTTTATTATGTTGCCAACTTTCAAAAAAATCATTTCCAAGACCATCATCAAACAGCTTTTTCACTCTGCTTTTTTGTAGGATTTTTGCAATTCCGAGTCTCATTTTATTTTATTTAAAAATTGTTTTTATTATTATAATTTAGCACTAATGTTAACAGTATTAAAATTTATGATCTCAATATATACCTCACCACCACCACCACCACCATGACTCTCCATCAATGACCGGATAGGGGTGGCTCGGGTCATCTCATCCTTTTTTTTTATTTTTATTTTTAAAAAGAAAATTTTAAATATTCAATAACACTAAAACCAAAAACCTCCAGATCCCAATTGCCCCATGCTCATGGTCAATCTTCACAAGTTCTAAATGAGCCTCATCCGAGAATAAATTTGTTGAAAAACTTAGGTATGTGAATTTTGTGACTGAATCTCCAGGCTTTCATGGACTCGGGAATGGGCAAACTACTCGCATCTCCCTGTTCTTCTGGGAGCCTTGCAGTCACTCCCACAAACTGCCTTTGGCACCATATAAACTCATTAACTAGTCATGATTCAGCGATTCACAAATAAATCTTAGGAAAGATCAAGAAGCTGCAGTTATGTCTCCAGACCCCAAAGTCACTATCAAGCTAAAAATTTAACTTCAGCTGTATCAGCCTATTTAAAATTTTAGAATTCCTGGAATGACATCTCATACTCTATACCACTAATATACCTGGAGCACACCACATTGGATGGGATGTAAAGTAGAAGGCAACCAATCTTGTTTAAATAAATATATATATGTATAGTCACATTATAAGTATATGTATATGCATATATATAATCACACAAGGCTCAACCCATAACAACAAGGGCTTAATGACTCCAGGGTGAGATACAACAATCTTTACACGCTTTCTTCTAAGGAAATTTTTTGACCATATTTATTGAATTATTCATAACAGCAATACAAAATAAATTATTTAGGGCCTGCTATTGGGGCAGGCTTGAGTGATGCTTGGGAAAATTCCAAATAATGGTGGTAGGAAGGTGTAATGGTTGTTAGATTTCTGGTGGAATATTGAATGTAATAAATTTTTGTGAACAACTTCATAAAAATAAAATTTTAAAAGGAAAGAAAGAAATAGAAGTTTAAAATAACACATTTTCTGGGAGTTGAGGTTGAAAGCAGGATGTTTCCTTCTATTTTCTTCATAAAAGATTCAGTACCAGACTTAACAATGAACTCTTTCATCAGCCTGTGATACGGTTCAGTGTAGGACATTTGCTTTGTAGTATGAGAGGTCCTGGGTTTACTCTCTCTCTCTCTCTCTCTCTCTCTTTCTCTCTCTCTCCCTCTCTCCCTCTCTCTCTCTCTCTCTCTCACACACACACACACACACTCAGAGTCTCACATACGTTAAAAATCTATTTCGTTGTAAAGAAATTGGAAAAGTTATTTACAAAAGTGTGAAGCAATCCATTACAGTTAGCAACTCAGCAATCCAAAGGAAAAGTAGTTCTGTGATTTGGAAAATCCAGAAGCATCTAAACCAGAGTATATTTGCATGTATACTACTAGAACTAAGTGAAACTGAAAAGAGAGTTAAGAAAGAAAAAGAAGGAAGTACATAACACCCTTATAAAATCCCCTTCTCAGAACCTTTATTCACAACTACTTCATTATAACTTTAGTCTTTATATTTTTCATTGAGTTAATTTTTATAACTTCTATTTCTCAATCTCATACATTCCACTACTCA